ACATTTCAGCCTGTTTAATGCACCAAGTCTACTCCCTATGGGTCGCTGTCAAAGCGTGACAGTGACAGATGGGAGGATTTTGGCTCGTTTACACGTGTTTGGTCAAGTACAATGCAGTTGTGTCAAGCACTGCAGTGTTTAAATCCATGCATGTTGCTACCCGTTGCTGTTGAAGTGGAAGAACATAAATGTGTTGCTATACTAAATGGGCCGTGCTCACCTCACCTCCCAGATGATTAGAGATGTGTGTAGGCCCCCAAGCAACCACTGTGAGATCGACATGTTGAAATACTGCAAAACTAATCTTACTGTGTTTTCCCAAAGCACACATGATGTGACCCCCACACTGGGTGAACATCAGATTTACGGGGAGAGCAGACGGGGAGAAGTAAAGTGCTCTCTTCCACCAAACACCAGGTCAGGGAGGAAAGTCTAAACTCTCATTGGCAAGGGAGGCGTGCCAACTGAGCTCTGCCTGCACTCCGAGCTCCAGCCATTGGCCCACTTTAGGGCTACAGAGCAGTAAGGTGTGACGAACTGACTTATCTGTGCTCTGACATGTCTTATTATTTCTCTCCATACATCAGTGTGACAAATGCACACCAAACCAGAGATGAAGGACATGCAAACTCAGGATCTTAAGGGAGATTTAGTCACCTCTATGAACTGAATATGGTGCCTCATTATGCCCAATGTTAACCGTGTTTGTCATTCAAAGTTTTTTGTTCTTTGTTCCGTTGATCGCTCGCCTCCCGCCCACTAAGTTCAACAAACACCTGACTGAGCCTGACTGGATCCCAACTTCTCATCTGGGCTGAGATAAGGAATCTGATGTTTCAGAGCCTGCCTTTGTTTCTCCTTAGAGATCGCTACGCCTCAAGGAATGTCTGTGCCATACATAAAAACCACCAACGTCCTTCCTGTGACTCTCACACACACACACAGTGATGACCTACATTGAACCTGCCTGGATTTTTAGGTCTGTTGCTTGTGCTGTATTTGTGTAGCAGTGTGATTAATGAATGATGGAAATAGAGGAGTGTGTTGGATTTTTTTTGAAAAAGTCCAGGTGACCTTCATGAACAAAAATCTCCATATTATAAGCTGTCAGATTACAACATGCTGATGTGCAAGTTATGATTTGCACTCCATGTTATGACTGTATCCTGTGACCATGCCAGATAGATAACTTGTCTTCATAAAAATTCCAAGTTTACAGCCTCTCTTTGTCCTAGAAGCATCCAGACTGCTGTCATGCTGTCTGTGCCGTTGTTTGACCCCTCTGCAAAAGTGCACCGCGATTTATTTCTGATTTGCGCAGCACTAGCTGGAGACATAGAGGGAGGCATCACTTTCTGGGGCATCAGATGGGGCCATGTTGAGCCCCAAATCATTTTCTAATATAAATGCAAATTGAGTTGTCTTGTATCAATGCAGCAGATAAGACAGATGAAAATATGCTTCTCTGAGCACGACTCGAGCCACTTTAATTTTCCAGAACTTTACTAAAAATTGCCTCAAATGTTTTTTTCAAAGAACAAAATGGCTGCAGTGTTTGGTAATTTTCTGAATTACCCCCCTTTCCGCCCAACCACAACTTCCGCCCCCAGTGTGTGCATACGTTTCTGCTATTTGGAAAATGGCCATCAAAGTGCACTTGCAGTTGAACCGGGCTTTTATCTGAACTCCCAGAGAGAAACTCGCTCCAAAAAGCTGCCATTAATTCCACCGCCGTAATAACTAGCTCGACCAAAAACAACGTTTTCTGTGCTCTGAGTGCAGCTGCATCCACTTTTGTTTTCTCTTGATGTTAAAGCAATCTCTCCTCCCGTGCGCCGTTTTAGGATAAATGCCCATAAAAAGCTTTGCCTTTGCTTAATTTGGATTTATTTCACTTCTACTTTGTCTTTTTTGGGGGGTAGAAAAGTGAAATTTAGTGGTGAAAATTTTTAATTAGTTCTATATTCATAAGATGGCCTTTACTTCCAAATTCATATCTCCTTGGCCTTCATCCTCTTTTTTTATCTCTTTGCATGCAAATGGTGGCAAAAAAAAGTCTGGTTTCAAATTAGAACGCTCAAAGCTTCTCACCATCACAATCTCGACTCTGATAAATACTCGAATCATCTTGGAAATGGCACACAGAGGGACAAAGCTGTAATGAACAGAGTGTGTGCCTAACACCTGTGATATCTCTGAACATTTCACATATTTCTTGTAGGTTGAATAGAGCAGATTAAAAACAGCAACAGTGCAGCTTTCTTTTAAGTCTGCATTTGCTGGGATTGCAGAAGAGTAAAAAGTGCGATAATACAGTAAATCGTGTTTTGGTAGTTTACTGCTGCAGGGCTGTTTTCCACCTCTGAACACTCACGCTGTCACTGAGAGTTAAATTGAACCTGTTGTGCTCATTTCCAACTCTGTATTTTGATTCTTAGACTATACAGTAGCTCTGCATGACACCTGGATCAAAATAATCTTTCTGGCACTTGGACTTGACGCAGCCCCCTCGGTTAATCTTCTGAGTGAAACAAGAGGTTTTAGCTCCTCAACCTTTAAGCCAGCCTCGATCTGATTGGCCAAACAGAAGGCGATGATGTCTACTCTCACAGATAACTGCCTGATACTGAGTGTTTGGTTTAGTATGAAGTCTTTGGATCTGTGCAGCCACACAGGTATGAAGTCTGTAACTGCATGCACCCTCGCTTTTATACAGTTTATCTGAATTTCACTTCATACAGTGCACACAGAAACAAAAATAATGACACGTAAATCTTGAGTTTAAATATCATACTCATATTTACTGTTGGAACACATGAACCCTGTTTGTAGTATGTATATTTAGTTCATTTTTGTGTATTATATTCAAATTTCTTAAATTATCTTATTTGTTATCAATTATTTCTATTCTTTCACCAGCGTTAGGGGTACCAGTTGGCTGTTGAGGTGAACTGGCATCCATAACTCTGAACTGGATAAGCAGAAGAAGATGGATGGATGGATGGATGGATGGATGGATGGACGGGCTACACCAAGCATCACAGGAGGGTGGGTAATTAATCCATTCATCTTTATAATTTAGCTTAGGTATGTAACTAGTTTTGTCTGATTATAAGTTTGAAGTAACTGTTTTTGTTTCTTTGTTTGTTTGTGTTTGTTTCACCTTGTGTGTCCGAGTGGTCAAATCAGCCAGTGTTTAAGTTCCCTTTGTCTCATGTTCTTAAATTGAAGAGAAGAAGGAACAGCTCACGCCCACATCATCCATCAGACATTTAGGAGGCAGTTTTATGGCATGGCTGTGTGTGGTTGTGAGTGGAACCAGCCTATTAGAGCTTATTGATGATGTGACTGCCGACGGAAACAGCAGGATGATGTCTGAAATGTACAGTGCAATAGTCTCTGTTCAGATTGAGCCAAATGCTGCTAAATCTCTCTGGCCAAGTGCATAGTGATGCACAGCAATGTACAAAAGCAAATCAAGGCAAAGAAATGGGATATTCTTCAACCACCAAGTCAGTTGACTGGTCTCGACCCGACAGAGGATGCGCCACAAACAAGCTACAGCTGAAGGTGGGTGAAATCAAGATCTAGCAGAGTATCTGAACTTCAAAAATATTTGTAATTCCCAAACGTTTAATGCAACATTTTTCTTAAACCCTTTAAATTAAAGCTGAAAGTCTGAACTTCGATTACATCTCGATTGTTTGATTTAAATTCCACTGTGGTGACGTGTGATAGGAAAACACAACAGGTCCTCTTGAATGTTCACAAGATTGCTTTGTTAAAACTTTGGCTCTCGCTGCCAATAAAAGCTAACTAAGCAAAACTTTATTTACATTGTATTTGACTACAGACTTTGTCAGAAAAGGAATGCAATTATTCGGACAATAACAACATAACAAACACCTCAAGGAATGTTTTAATTGAAATTGAGAGAACTCCTTTATGAGACATCAGCAGCTATTACCAAAGTGGAATGAGACTATCAGTGTTTGCAGAAGCACTCAGACTCGTTACTGAAGGAAAAGTACAACAATGTATTTTATATATTAACATTTTCCATTTAGCAGATCATTTTCCATGATCTGCTAAAAAAAAGATTTTCTTCCTAATTAAACCAAGCATAGCTCATTAAAAAGAAGACATTTTTCACACCAACTACTTTTCCTTTGTATGCTGGATATTTGAATTCTTACAGATGTTATAAATTAGTGCTCCCTCCCTAATAAGCTGGTGTTCCTCCTATTTTAAATTGTGGTGTGGGTGTGACATTTCCAGCTGGTGTGCCATTTGTGATTTTCTCACCTTTGTTTTGTAGAAAGTGAGCAAATGCAGTGAAATCTCTCTGTTAATTTCTGTCTTTTAATTGCTCTTTTGTGTTGTTGTTGTTTTTTCTGATCTTTTTGTATTCATTTTGTTTCTTTTGGACTTTTTCCCATACACCCTCTTGACTTTGACTTTGGTTTGTTTCTCTGTGTGCATTTTGAGTCTCTGTGTAGTCACTTGGCGCCCATCATTGTGTTTGTATAATTCTGTTAGTTGATTTTACCAACCAATTCAATCTGAAGTGATCGGTGAAGCGAAGCTCCTGACCCAGTTAAGTAATCCTCTGCGCAGTGAACTCTCTGTCACAATTAGCAGCGCCGCGTCCTTCAGCACCATGGATAACAGCCAGAGTGAGCCTGCGGGCTTTTGTCGCCACCTGCTGGTCAATAGGATTAAGTGACATGAATGAGCTCACATTGATGAACAGCAGAAGATATTAATATTAGTTATATTGACAAACATGGAAGCAGAACACATTATGCCTCATTCCTGTACCAAACAACATACTGGATATTTCCCAGTGGCCTCCAGGATTACAGGCCTGTGGCGCTGACTTCCCATGTCATGAAGACCCTGGAAAGACTCATCCTTGACCAGTTCTGACCTATAGTTAGGCCACATCAGAATCCCCTTCAGTTCACTTACCAGCTCCACCCTGGAGATCAGGACCTGCGATGCCCATCTGGACCAGCAGGCAAGCACTTTGAGGGTCATGTTTTTTTTTTGTTTTTTTTTTTACTTTTCCAGCGCATTTAATACCATCAGGCCGACCCTCCTGGGTGATAAGCTGACAGCGATGCAGGTGGATGCCTCGTTTGTGTCCAGGATTGTTGATTACCTGACAGGAAGACCACAATAGGTGCATCTCCAACACTATGTTTTTGACAAGGTGATCAGCAACACAGGGGCACCAAAAGGGACCGTCCTCTTCCCTTCCCTCTTCACCCTCTACACCACAGACTTCAGCCACTGCACATCTTCAGATGTTTTCTTATGACTCAGTGTAGCTGTGGTTGACTCCTTTGTCACATGGTGCAAGCAGAATCATCTGCAGCTCAACATGACAAAGACCAAAGAATTGATTGTGGACTTTATGAGGACCAGGAAACCTCTGACCTCTGTTTCAATCCACAGGGTCAACGTGGACATTGTGGAGGACTATAAATATCTCGGATTACACATAGATAATAACCTGGACTTTACAGGAAGGGCCAGAGTCATCTCTGTTTTCTGAGGCGGCTGTCTTTTAACATCTGTCAGTCAATGCTCAGGATTTTTTATGGGTCTGTTGTGGCCAGTGCCATTCTCTATACTGTTGCATGCAGGTTGAGGGTCGATACCACAAGACCCAATAAACGGATCTACAAGGCCAGTAATGTTGTGGGGACAGAGCTGGACTCCCTTGAGGTGGTGTCAGGGAGGCAGGTGTTGTCCAAGATAAGGACAATGCTAGATAATACCTCCCACCCACAATACGACATGCTAGCCAGTCACAGGAACATGTTCAGTGAGAGACTGGTATTACCCATAATGCACCACTGAACAACACAGGAAATTATTCCTGCCCCTGGCTCTCTCCTCCATCTAATATACAGGACACAGTGCAGCACTTAAACCCTTTTGCACACCCTCTACAGTGAAATAACAAATAACATGTTTTACAGGTTAGAATAAAAATGTCAATCATATATACTCCACCTCTGCAATATTCTGGATATAATAACTGAGCTATTTTTACATTTTGGAAACTTTGTAATATAACTGTGTTATTTCGTTTAGTTCAGTCTGTTACTGTTCTTATTGTTTGGGAGCAACTGTGACCACATAATTTCCTTAGGGATTAATAAAGTTTCCTCTTTGGAGCAATGATCCGTTCCAGATTCAGGTTTGTCATACAAAATAATTCACAGAATATGATGGCAAATCTCTAACTGCCCAACAACATACAGCACAAAGGATTATAGTACAATTGTATGCGCAACATTTAGGGTTAGCATCTGATATGATGAATGTTTCAACATTAAGCAAGCTGTTGTTTCAAAAAACTAGTTGAATTTGATCAGCTTTAACATGAGAAATTAAAATATTACGTTTCTTTTACATATTGAGCTTGTTTATTTTATTTTATGTTACTTTGTAACTGAGATTCTGTCTCCTGTGTGGTTTTCCCTTACTGGTTTACTTTTTTTCCATATTGTTTTGTATTCTATTGATGTATTCTACTTTATTTAAGTTTAATTATTGGTTGTGTTTATTGTAACACTTGGAAGCACACCACAGTTATCTTAATAGGAGGAAATGCACGGGCTGTATGAAGGTTAAACTGTCTCAGAGTGGTTAATGTTCATGACCATTCAGGATTTGTGCAGACTACTATCCAATAAATACACACCTGAATGAATTTCACTGCATAGTTTCCCATTAAAATGCATCTTTAGCCTGTTTTTGTTGTGATTTACTGTTAAAAGAAGCCAAACCATTCTCTATGCTTGTTGTGGCTGTTTGTGACTCTGCTACTTCTTGAAGGACTTTGCTGAGAGGGTGCAAGCTGGAGGCTGACAAGCTTAGATTCTTCCAGCCAATATGAGGCTGAGCCATCACTGCTCGCGTCCAATCAGCTGAGACCTGATGGGATTGGATTAAAGTGTTTCTCCTCTTTCATCCTTGGGTACTTTGAGTAGCTGACACGGATCTGCGTTATCAGTGGCCCTTGCGTGCACGTCGTGCTGTCTCTATCGGCTTTTCGTCAGTGATGGAAAACACTCGCTGCTTTGCTAACCGTTTCTCCGACTACAGTGCGCCCCAGGGCCGCTGTGGCTACAACGTAGCTTACCATTGCCAGTGTGTGAATGTGTGTGTGAATGGGTGGATGACTGAATGTAGTGTAAAGCGCTTTGGGGTCCTTGGAGACTGAGTAAAGCGCTATACAAATGCAGGCCATTTACCATTTACCATTTACAAAGGTGCGCTGCTCCCGGGCCAGGGCGCCGAAGCTGCCGTGCCCGTCGTGGTCGCCAGCATAGATAAAATCCTTCAAACTGTTCCCATCGACCTCAGCGACTGCGACGGAGGGCTATACGATGGGCCGGCCGAGGTGGCTTACATGCTGTATCACGTTAGCGAGTGCCCGCTGTTCTCTGAGTACCGGGATGTTTACCTGAAGACGGCCAAGCAGATTATCGACATGTCGGTCAGATACGTGGATGCGGAGCCGGACAAAAACATGCGTGCCGCCTTCCTGCTCGGCACATCTACGCTGTGGCCGCTATGATTTACAAGTCCATGGGCTTGGCTGATTTCGTGAAGCCGCTGACTAAATTCCGTAACCTGTGGGAGGTGTGCGCTCCGATCCATTTTCTGGAGTGCGGCTGTTTGTAGGGCGGACTGGGTACCTGTGCGCCGCCCTGGTCCTCAAACAGAAGCTGGGCATAGAGGTGAGCGCACAACATGATAAATGACAAATCCCTCTCCGAGAATAAACTTCCGCTGCCGGAGCTGCCACTAACGAAAAACAGGTCTAAATATGGCAAGTGTGGACTAGATTAGATACATATGTGTTGCTAATCTGAGTCCAAAAGGTTGTTTAAGTCAGTTTTTTCTGCAAAGGTTGTTTTATAGACCGAGATTTTAAAAACACAAGTGATTCCAATTTTTATTTCGAAGCTCAAGGTGCTGTCATAACTTCCATTTCATATTGTAGTTCATTGATTTAAATACTTCTTATTAGTTTACTGATTATAAATTTTGTAGGAAAATCTCTGTGGGAAAATCTCAAATTCCCACAGAAATCTTGACATTTTCCTCGGACAGTAACTAACTGGATAAATCCATCATCTCGATGAATGCTGATAAAGATTTTCTCAATCAATTAATTGTCCGATTCTTCTCACATCATTAATTATACAAAATAAAGATAAAATCAGATAGCACTACAGGGAGACTGGGTACAAGTTTTAGGGCGTTGTGTTGAAGCGCTGTTTACGCCCACTGCTGGACAAATTGTGTGATGCATTTCCAAATTCCTCCAAGGTGGGGAAAATGAGGCCTTGGTTCAGCCCTGGTGACTGGTCATTGCAAGTGACCAGTCACATTGTTATTAAGTCATAGCTTGACAAAAAAAAAAAAATACTATTCAGCCAATAACATGGCAGCAACTCAGTCCAATTAGGCAAAGTAGACAAGGTCAAAATGACCTGCTGAAGCTCAAACCAAGCATCAGAATGGGATGATGGTATGACTACTTCAGCAACTGCTGATTCACTGGGATTTTCCCCACACAACCATCTCTAGGGTTTACAGAGAATGGTCTAAAAAAGAGAAAATATACAGTGAGCAGTCATTGCCTGGAAGGTTAGAGGAGAATGGCCATACTGCCTCAGGCTGATAGGAAGGCAACAGTAACTCAGATAACCACTTGTTAAAAATGTGTTCACATTTTCAGGTTGGATAAATTTAGGATTGTGTTAGGAAGGGCATCCAGCATAAAAATCTTTCAAATGAAATATGCAGAGCTACCCGCTGTGGTAACACCTCGTGACAAGGGAACAGTGGAAAGTAGCTTCATAAGATGTCTCTGTTCCCCCTGTGAGACGTCTGGGTTACATGCCCTGAGACTGCTGAAAGAGCAGCTGTGTGGGTTTCACACCTTTATCCATTAACAGGGTATTCAAGTGTGGAAAAAAAAGATGTTTAAAAAAAAACCTTTAGTGATTTCAGAGAGAGATCTGTGAGACCAGACAGACTGGTTCAAGTGATGTCACCACATGGATGTTTGAAAATGGAAAAAAAAGATGGTTGTTATGGAGTAGAAAAAAGTGAGTTTCCCAGACATCTGTGGCTCACTGTAGTGGATGTCTGCCTGAAGCTAACAGGTCTTAAACTTTTCGTCATCTCAAAGTTAGTTTTTTAAACGTGTCATAGACCTTTACATAAAATAAGTAAGTAATCGCACCACTCGTGAATTCTAATGCTTGTTGAGTGCCCCAGAGATGGTGGTTACTAACAGCTGTCTAAATGAAGCTCTTGAGCAGCAGCTGGAAATCATGCAACCATGGTGCAGTTTGCAAACAGCCCTATGTTGATGCTTTACTTTGCGTTTCAAAATTTCTAAAAGTGTTAGTCTGTGAGTCTTTCTCAATAAGACATTTTGGAATCATAAGCTTTTATTTCACACAGAACGCATCCCTGCAGCACTTTGTCAGCATAATATAACCAAATGTTGTGAGTCACTGGAGTTACACTGAACATGTTGTTGGTTTTGACATAAAAAGATAACAGGTGAATAATCTATGTTAAACATTAAGCCTGCTTCTGCTTTAAAAGTTTTTATTCTTGTCATTATTTCTTTAAACATTCATCACGAGTCAGTCAGTGTCATTATTTTGCATGATTAGACCTGTACTTGGGAATGTTTGGGCCTGGCTTTGCTGGGGGAGGAATAGCAGCAGGAAGACTTTTCACTGAGCCACTGTGCATTATCAGATGCTGGGCCTGCCTGGACTGAATCAATACAACCATCATGTTTTTAATTACACTTGTGCTTCAAAATATTAAAATGTCTCCTGGGAGAAAGGTCAGTTTGCAGTGTGGGTGTGCACAACCATTAAAATGTTTAATATTTTAACGCTGCACAATGTATTTCCAATTGAGTTTTTATCTGTGTTAACTGCAGTGTGTCATTTGTTCTGCAGATTCTGAGCAAAGATCAAATCAAATCTATTTGCCAGGCCATCATCGAGTCAGGAAAACAGTATGCCAGGAAGAAGAGAAAGCCTTTCCCCCTCATGTACTCGTACTATGGAACAGAGTACCTCGGTAAGAACCACCAGCTTCGTGCAACGTTCAGTGCCCTTGTTATAAAGGTGTGTAAATGCACAGATATCAGGATTTTTCACAGTTTCAGTCCTCTGACCACAGCAGGAGCTTCTGTTGTCGCAGGACTGGTGTGTTCATGTGTGTAAAACTAACTGTCCTTTTCCTTGATGGGCATCAGAGGAAGAGACCCCTCAGGGTTGAAGTAACTTTCACATCAACACCGAGTTCATAGTAAGCATAGCCCTGCTGGCCACTTTTGCATGGATACAGCAACATCTTTGAGGATGATGAGGAAGTGGAACAGTTATATTTTGAGACATCTGTAGATTAGAAACACCTGGATGAAAATATATGCTGAAGATCCTGCATGTGTTCTCAGTTTGCCTGTCATGAGAGGTTTGCTATTGGAGGAGTTTCTCGATCGATTTGCGGTGAGCGGTGGGCTGGGCTGCCTCAGAGAGTCTTGGTTTGCTGCATGTGTTTAGCATTATTTAGGAAGTCTCGCTCCAGGATCCCAATGAATTCCATCTATGTTTGATGATTCTGTAACTTACGATTCACATCCAACGCCTGTGTAGGAGGAAGACATTTCTTTGGTGGAATCTGGGGTGGTGGATGGTTGGAGACAGGAGCTATGGGCCTATGATAAATGCTTTCCTACGGTAACTGATTTAGTCATGTTCACAGTGTTTTTTCAAGTTGTTTTCAGGTCATTTAAACATTCTATGAAAACCTGAATATTCAGTACAAAAGCGCAACAGTGCAAAAGTCTTGAGCCACCCCTCATTTCCTTATATTTATCGATTAATATGGGAAACAGCTGCAGTGATTTATTGAAACATGTGCAAACATACATGGAAATACAGTTTAAACAGCAAAAACAGATTCTGTTCAATTCTGTTAAACTTGAAAGTCAATATTTGCGATGACCACCTTTGTTCTCCAGCACAGCCTGAACTCTCTCAGGAAAGCTTTCTTCTATTTTCTTTACGCAGTTTTCAGGAATAGTGCTCCGGGCTTCTTACAGGATGGATCTTGGTTCCCTTTTGTTCCATTTTCTGTCAAGATGATCCCCAACAGCCATTGCCACTTTCCAGATGGTATCACACTTCAGTGTCGTGTATTTTTATGCTTGAATAATTTATAGGTCAGTATTTAGTGGCTTATTTAAAAAAAACAAGTCCTCTGAAAATGTCCAGGTACAAAGACTGGATTGAATTTGAGTGAAAACGCAGCCAATGTCCAAAAAAGAAACCAAACTTTTGAAAGACCTTCAGAAAGCCTAGAAAACTACTACTCAAGACCACTTTGATAATGACAAAGTCTGGCTCTTTAGAAGCAAAACAAAAAGAAATTATGAGTGACTTAAGACATTTGTATGTTACCATAGTTACTACCGTATTTTGAGTATTATGTAGTTGCTACCTATAATGTGAGAGTTTGGAAATATTGTCATTGGATGTGGAAAGCAGTTAAACTTGATGCGAATCTAAAAAATTTGCAGAATCATCCAGCTATGATGTTCTTGTCAGGAGATAATCTTCTCGGATGGTTGCAAGGCTACAAAGGGTTACTCTTCTATCTCTTGTTATTTCCAGCCTCAAGCATGTCCGTATACTTGTAATTAGATCAGTGTGTAGACGTGTGTGTCTATTGTTCAAGCTAGAGGACCTCCAACAACACATGTGTTCAGATAGTCTGAAGCTGAATTACTCTATATTACTGGATCCCTTCAGTGGGTTTTTAGCTATTTAGTGCAGGTGTTGCAGTCCTGCATCATGTAAATACTGTCCCGACGAAGTGATCTCTAGTTTTGAAGCATTCTTTTTGTGGGCCAGATGTCATGTAGCTGACGGACACGTCCCTGTTCTTGCATCAAATTCGGGCTGCTGATGTATTTCCTCAGTGCTGGAAAATAGGACTTTATGTCACCTATCAAAACTGTCAAATATGTACAGTGAGCTCCAGATTAGAATGGAACAAAAACAAGTCCTCCCGTTGTGCTCTGTGAGCGTTTGCGCTTTTGTGCTCTGGGTGGTGTCCGTCTGTGTGCCTGGCATGGTGTTTTCCTGCATGCCTGATTACATGCTTCAATGTCATGACCTCTTTTGAAACAACCTACTCTTTTACAAATGTTTGTTTAAGTTGTACTGCGTGGCTAAGTGCTTGATTTTATACACCTGTGGCACTGAAAACACCTGAAATCAAAGATTAAGAGGTGTGGCTCAATGCTTTTATCCACATTGTGTATCTTCATATACAAATTTATTGTCTTAAAAGGAGGTTCAGAAACTTCCGGTACACTCCTGATCTCTACAAGAAGTTATAGCTCAGTTCTGGACATGCTGCTTTCACATTGTGTTTTTATGTGTCTACATTCTTGTTTTGTCCACACAGGTTTGCAGAGTTTCTCTTCACTGAGGAATTCAAGGCAGGCTCTCGCTCAGTTACCAGCATCTACAGTCTGTTCGAAGGCCTGTCGGGGACCGTTTGTTTCCTGGTCGACCTCCTGCAGCCAGACCAGTCGGAGTTCCCTCTGTTCAGTGTCTTTGTGTGAATGGACTGAAAGGTTACTGCTGTTCACTGACCTGAACAGACCCCGCCCCTTTCCCAGTGAAATCGCTAAACAACTGATAGAAACTTTAGAGTCAGGATTGATACTGTGATCAGAATGGGAGTGGAGGGATGAATGGTTTTTGTTTGGGCTTTAGATCAATATCACACAGAGGAAAGTTGCTGTAGAAAATGGTCTTTTTTCTGTTTGAATGTTGAGCTTTGAGGCTTTATCCGATGCATGGCACTCACAAAAACATTGCCCATTGTTGTCACTAGTGGTGGAGGCCTATATGAGATGTCCGTTGGGCGTATACATCAATAAATCTGTTTGGGGACAAATAACAAAAAACAAAGATGCTTCTTGTAACTCCAGATTCGTCTGAGAATCATCAAGTTTTCTTCTGTATCGTAAAAGTAATGCAGTGATAGTCGGGAGTGCATCCATGGGTACAGTGCAATATTTTTAATGGTGTAAACAAATGTAGGCTAAAAACAACGCGGCCACAACTAACTCCCTGACTCCGCTAACACTAAGCTGTACTTCTTGTTTACATCACCCAAAGCGCCCGAATTGTTCCGTCTGTGTTGTCGTCTGCTTTATCAGGGTCACACTAAGAAAAGAGCCCAGCACTAAAGTACAGAGATGAGAAACTGAGATATTCTTCCAAGATGCTGCTCTCAGGCCAGAAACACACAAGCTACTTACGCATAAAAGTAAAAGGCAATCACACCCCAGTCACACACACAAAAAAGCTCAAAACAGAAAAACGAGTGTCACATAAATGCCTTTAAAAATTTTCTACCAGTTCACCAGCTCAGCGTCACATATCGCAGACCTTTGAGTTCATGTGTTTACGCCATCGCAAACTATAAAGATCATCAAAGCTGGGTGGGGAGGTACAGAAGGGATGTAACTGGTGTTTATCGACAACATAAAAGTAACACTTTGTTTCCACTGTGCTGTTCTCACCCGCTGAAGCTGAGGTTACGCCTTGTACCAGTGTGACAGCCATTTGTGTTTATTAATATTTCAAAACTATGTTAGCTACTGTGTGGGTACTTTCAAAGTGATCAATATGTTGTGATAGGTTTCAACTTTTACCCTATAGATAAAAAAAATAGTAAGTTAGTCTGTACCTTTGTGATGGACACGGAGGAGAAAAGAACAAAGTGTGCTGCCAATGTGAGAATTTCACTTTTCGTCCAACTCAGTCTGTTTCTTGAGGCGACTCTTTGTGTGGTGGATTTCTTTAGCTAAATGCGCAAATGAGGCCTTAAAAACAAATTTCTAGCTTTCAGATATGATATCACATCTCTCAGAGTATAAGAAGGCAGAGAATACAGGAAACTGAAGATGCTTTGGGAAGCTTTTATGAACATGTGGCTCATGTTGATTAAAAAAAACTGCCTGTGAATAACAGCAAACCAAAGCAGTTTCCCAACTTTAACTGAGCCGGTTGTGAAACATTTACAAGCTGTACATGTGTGCTGCTGTTTTTGATTTGCAATCCAAGCTGTTTAAAACAATACTTGCTACTGGATTATTGATACCAATAAAGTGTCCAGATGACAAAATAATAGAGATGACTTTGGTGTTTTATTCAAGGGAAAGGCCTTGCAGGAAAACACACTCAATACGTGAAAACACAGAACCGAAGCGTCCACTGGTGATTGATGAGGATCTGTTATTGGAGACTGCATAAAAACTGATGAATTTTAATTGCTGTAATATTTTATCAGCTTTTTCAAAGCAACTTTATGAACAATGTGACAGAGGGAAAAAAATCCCCTTGTGAGTGCGATCAGTACTTGCAATAGAAAAATATTACACTTTTTCAAATGTATTTTTATGCTTTTCAGAGCTGGAACCATCAAGCTTGGATGTGCTGGTCCACAACCGCACAACTGCTGTCAGTGAGGTTCATATAGATAAATAAATGATGCTGTACATACTTGTTTTACAACATTTTAACAGTATTTTAACAGTGTATAGGTTGCACTAATTATTTTTTCAGTTTTGGGGGCATTCTTTTATCATCCTGGCTCCTGCTGCAGTTTTTTTTTTGTTTTGTTTTGTTTTTTATAAAATTAAATGTAATTTTTGTTCCTGTTGTTTCTCCTTTTTCATTTAAAATGGTTTCCTCAGTTAATATATACATTCAGCTGATTTAATTTTGTTAGCCATTAGTTTTTGGTGCCGTTGTATTTAGCTGAACCTCTCAGTGCCCCTTTATTTCTTAAAATGGCTTATTTATGTGATTGTGTATATCTGACATTATTTTTGCTGTTTGTGGAGTAAAATAAAACCCACATTTTGGAAATCATTACACTTGTGCCTGTATGTTAATGGCTGCTTAGTCCCTGATATTGGTAGAGGCACTGAACAGTTGGCTTTTAGAGCGTAAGAGGAGAATGACGCTTCGCTTTGTTGCAGCCTATAAACATCTGTAATTTAATGGAAGCTGCGTATTCTGAGCAGATTAAACTACACTATTACATCTTTTATTTTATATTTTACATTTATTTTAATCCATTATGGGAGTGTTGAAGACAATGTGACTACTACTGTTAACTACTGGAGGTGAGAGGCTCTTAATGTCGTCTACAACAAAGTCTCAATAAAATGTCTGAACCTTTCTCATCAGTATTAAACTCCAGCACTACAAGCTATTTAGAGGTGAATATTTGGTCCAGCTGCGGCCCACACATGTTGTGGGCCACAGCTGTTACGTGGGTGAGCTCAGCTGCCTCAGTGCAAGCACATTTTCACCTTACATGGGCCAGATGTCAAGTCACACCTGTTCCTGCCAGGACTTTAACTGAACTGCAAGTGCCAAAAACAACATAGGTCTCATCTTGGTCATATTCCACATACATGTACACTCTCTGGCCACTTTATTA